TCTACTCTTACTGTTGTTAAGGTTGCTGGAGTTGTGCCCTAGATCCATCACAGCTGATTAAAGCCAGCGACAGCCCAAGACTAGTGGACTAGCTGACCAGATCCAGAGCACCTCACCAGGCTGACATTGAGGTACAATGTCAACAAAGACCAGGACCAAGATCAACCCAGTTCTGTTTCAAATGTGACGAATCCTGAGGACTCGTCAAGCCCTACTCTAGTCACACAGCTGGAAGCTGACTAGTCAACACGTGGCTGAGGCTTGAGGAGTCTTTATTGGATAAGTAAATGTGGACCGAAATCTTAATACTTGATACCATGCTAGCAATATTTGCTGTTCTGCTGTCACACTGCCATTGTTGCTGTTCCTTGAAGGACATTCCTTGCCCATTCCTAGTGTAAAACTGTTGCTTTCTGTTTTGCTCATGTTAGCCTTTATGGCAAAGTTAGTAAGGGGGGATGTTTTGAATGAATGTCCCGTGTGCACCCATACTACATGGATAGGGAGCACACACTTTAAAACTGTTATATACCAAACCCATTATGAGTGCAGAGGGACCCCCCTAGAAACTTGCATATATAGTAAAACTACCTACTCAATTTGTGACCCTGGTGAGGAACAGCCTTATGTATGCTACGATCCTAAACGTCTATCCAGAACTTGGTTTGAGCTCCATGGAGGATCAAAAAATGGAATCCCCTGTGACGTACCTTGGATATCCTTCTCACCAAAGAAGCATATCCTCATACTTAGATGCTTGTCAAATAACCCAAACACTTCTTAAAAGTCAGAAGATAGTTGTAGCCCAATCTTGTTACCCTAAAATTTTAGAAAAGTCATAGGTGTGTGCATCTTGCACAACTGTATAATCCATGCTCCTCAAAAACAAACAAACAAACAAGCTATGTTCACTCATGTCCCGCTTTGGATTAGGAATGCCATACCTTGGTATGATTATGACTACTGTGAAGTCGGAGATGAAGGAAAAACCTAAAATCATCTAAATTTCACTATTTTAGACCCAAACTCGCCTATTTGGACCACAGGCATTGAGGAACCAGTAGGATACAGCAATTTTTCTAAGGTAGTTGAAGAAAATGCTGAAAAAAAGAAGATTAAGCCTTACATATCTTAATGAATGGGCACAAGAAGGTATTGTTTTTCTGTATTGTCAAAAAGACCTGAGCTCATCAACCCCAACAGCAATTTCGAGTCTTTAAGTCATTTAATGAATATTTTAAATAAACAATTCCTGAGCCACCCTCTGTGACTAAAAACCTATTTGCCAAGTTAGCCAAAAATACAGCAGGAAATCTGGGGGTTACCTCATGTTGCCTATGTGGAGGAACTAACATGGGGGACCAGTGGTCTTGGGAGGCAAAGGAATTGCTACCCCAAGATAATTACAGCTTAACCCTTCCTGCCTCAAACTCTACAGAGCTGTCATCTACCAAGTCCAGTACCTGGCTTCTAAAGGCTTCCATCATAGGAAGGTACTGTATTGCCCGTTGGGGAGCTGTCTACACTAGCCCAGTAGGTGAACTAGCATGTCTAGGATAGCAGTATTACAATAAAACTATAGGAAAGACCCTATGGCAGAGAGAAAACAAACAGAGTAAGAGCAGTTCCAAACCACCTCGATTTAACCCATTTTCCAGATTTTCATCTTTGAACCATTCGTGGTACCAACTAGAGGCACCAAATGCTTGGCAGGCACTCACGAGCCTTTATTGGATTTGTGGTCAACGGGCTTATCGGCAGCTGCCAGAAAAATGGATAGGAGCTTGTGTGTTGGGAATTATTAGGCCGTCATTTTTCTTGCTCCCCCTAAAACACAGAGAAGTTTTAGGATACCCCATTTATGATGAATCCAAAAATAGAAGAAAGTGGGCGGTAAGCTCAAAAGATGATATACAGATCGGAAACTGGAAAGACACAGACTGGCCCCCAGAAAGAATAATTGATTATTATGATCCCGCTACTTGGGCGCAAGTTGGAATGTGGGTATATCACACTCCCATCTATGTGATAAACCACATGATTAGGTTACAGGCAGTCCTAGAAATCATAACCAAGGAATCATCCAGAGTTTTAGACTTTAGACTTGCTAGTCGTACAAGCCACAGAGATGAGAAATGCAATACACACAGAGTAGGCTAGCCCTAGACTACCTCCTGGCCTCAGAAGGAAGAGTTTGTGGAAAGTTTAACCTCACTAACTGCTGTTTAGAAATTGATGGTGATGGACAGGAAATCACCGCTAGGATGCAAATAATAGACCACATCTCAGTCCACACCTGGAAAGGATGGTCTCCAGAGTCTCTTTTTGGTGAATGTTTTTCATCTTTCAGTGGTTTTAAAGACCCTTACAGGAAGTGTGGCTCTCATATTGAACGGATGCCTCATACTGCCTTGTCTCTTACCTCTTTTATTTAGAAGTATACGATCAGCCAAAGAGGCAGTAGTGCGTAGGCACACTACCACCCAAATAATGGCTTTAACTAAATATCAGCCTTTGTCCTCAGAAGAGAACCCACATGGTGAAGAGACAGGTGACTATAGTACCTAGGTAGGACTCCTCTAAGGGTATTTTCCTTCCTCATACCCTGCCTTCTTTTGTTCTGTTTCTGAATCACATGAAGTCCGGATGCACAAGTAAAGAGCTTTAGGCCAAATCATTAAGTTTAACCATTAAGTGTTGTAACCTAATGAAGCAGCTTGCTAAAATGTAACCTGGCTCCAGTCTTGTCTTCCAGACTAAGCCAAAGCCTCCAACAATAATTCCATGTGCCCTTAAGGCCCCAGATGGATGGATGGCTAGTCAATGACAGGTAAGACCCCCCAGAAACGGGGGGGTAACCTGAGACAGACACAGCCGCAGAGAGGCCAACAGAAGACAAAGGAGTTTGCTTATTCCTGCGGTCAGGATGTCCAAAAACAGATGACAGCAGAAGGTATACTGGCAAGCTAGCATTGCACTGGAGCAAATGAACAGTAACCCCTCAATGACAGGCTGACCGCTCCATCCTGTCATCGTGTGAATCGTAAAGAAAGTCTCAAAAAAAAAAAAAAAAAAAAAAAAGAAAAGAGAACGGAAAAAGAGAAAAGCTTTCTAGTAATAAAAAACCTTTTGAAGAAAGCATTGAAGGGGAAATGGGGAGGAAAATAAAATTAAAGACAGACTTGAAATTGAATAAGTAATAGTTAACATTAGGACTAGGTCATTAGGAAAAATCATAGTAAGCACAAATGAGTAACCCCTTCCAGCTTAGCCCAACTAAGAGACCCTCTCTCCACATAGATAAGAGCACCAGAGAGTATCTTCAGGTCTGCAGCCCGCACATACTTCTGCAATTCCTGTTCTTCGGATCTCCCTGGGTGTCCTCCTCAACGTTTTGACCCCCTCCCTTGGCTGCAAGGTTATAGAGTTAAATGACCCCGAAGCCCAAGATAGCAAAACCTGATTAACTGTCTGTGTTCAAAACCTATTTCTTGCCTTGTTTTCTCGCCTCAAATTGCAAAAAAGCAATACGTTCTCTTTGTTCAGGGCTGGCGGCCATTACAGGCAGTGAGGCCGCCGTCAGCTGGAGCTCCAAAAAAAGAAATTTTCTTGGCCAGTCAAGGTGGCTCACACCTGTAATCCAAGCACTTTGGAGGCCAAGGAGGGTGTATTGCCTGAGGTTGGGAGTCCAAGACAGCAGGACCAACATGGTGAAACCCCGTCTTTATATTAAAAAAAAGAAAAAAAGAAAAAAGAAATGTTCTTGTGTCTCTTGGTCTCTCTGCACTTCTCAGCTTGAATTCCTGCAATATAGTGACCTGAAATTCCCTGAAGCTAAGTATAATAGTGGTCCTTAAACATATATTCTATATGTGAATTAATAAAGTCAGATACACTGAGTATGCTAAGAATCAACCAATATAAGGAAAACAATGATCATTTACGTAAATGTTATATTAGTGTAGTAATCAGCTCACCTACAAAACAGCAACCCAAATCACATTTTAAAAACATCCTTTAATGAGCAACTATTATGTGCCAGGTGACATATAGCACTGCAGAACTTTCTCCTTAGTTCAGCTAAAACAGGGCTCTTGTCACACGACCAGGAAAGATGAGGCTCGTGGACACACAGAAGGGTGAGTAAAATGGAATTTATTGGGTGAAACGGAAAAAGGAAAAATAACTCTCAGCAAAGTGAGAGAGAGTCTTGCTGGTAGGTTTCCCACTTCACAGATGGAAGCTCAGGTCACCACACAGGAACAGGAGAAGGCAGGCTTCTCCCCACTGCAAACAGTGCAAACTTCCCAAGCCTCCACCCCTTCCTCCCAGTGTGCAGGTGGGCATTATTCAGCAAAAATCAATTGGGAAAGGGCAGGCTTCATCTGGGACAAGCAGTCCAGTCTGTCAGGCTTCAAGCTGTTTTAGGCTTGAAGGCAGGGTTTCACCAGGACCTTTGGCTGTCTCCTGTGTCTATCAATGGTAAGTGCTTTCTTTATGGTACTTCACTTAAACTTAATTACTATGAAAGGAAAATATTACCCCTGTCCCATTTGTGCAGAGAGGAGATGCAAATTCGGGAAGCTAATCAAAGAAGTTACTGAGGAAACAAGTGGCTGGCAAACAGAAACATGCCAGACTCGCTGGACTCTGAGATTCCTGCTTTTCCCACTGACTTTCTCCCTCCCAGATAGTCTCATTGAAGAATCATAGCTCAGCAACTTAGGTGCCTCTTTATACTTAAAGACCGTTTCCACTTCTAATAAAATGTAGTTACTTTGGATTTGATCGGCTTCCCAGCTTTCACTTACATAGTTTCTGCTTCTACTAAACATGTACCTTCAGATAAAGGAAAATAATCTGAAATAAAATTTTGGAATTTCAGTGGTGTTCCACAGGCATGGGAGAGTGAAATTTCTAGTGAAAAGTATTATTTATATGTTTGATGCATTTACCACCCCACCTAATTCCCTCAGGCTCAATTTCTCTAGAGTATTTACCTTCACTTGGCGGATAGTTACCCTTGTGTGCATTCCCACAGGTGACAACAAGCCTAATCCATCAAATTGTGGCACCTTCTTTGGTGAGTGGATAACAAAGATGATCCCAGCATCAGTGAAACCAAGAGCCGGGCTATCAGTGAATGCCTCCTGAAACAAAAATACATTTTTTGTCCAAATTGCAAATTGACCATATCAGTTCTATACAAGTTTAGGATTCAGTTTTATCATCTTATGATAGCATTGGACTAATCCTAGTTTATGTTATACTTCAGTCTTTTTCTGTAAAGTATATGAAAATTAAACATCTAAGACATACTTTATTAGTTGAATCTGTTAAAGGAAAATCTTTTGGGTCCCTTCAAGCTGGGAATTGCTCAGGGCAGTCCTGAAATAATTGAGACCTGTCTCATCATTTTTCTTAATTGTCATCTGGTCACTATGAAGGAATCCTGAGTAAAGGGGACCTGACCTGCAGCAGCTAGCCTATAGGTGCTTGGTACCAGCTTGGGCACCTTATAGCCCAAACCAATAGGACGACTGCTGAAGTCCAGGACCTACTTCCTCCAGGGATCCCTGATCTTCCAGTGTTTTTCAGTTGGGGGTCTGAGGTTCATTCACTGTTTAAAAAACTCCTTTTTTTTTTGGTGAGAGTTTCCACTGGCTTCCATCAAAGAAGACAAGCCTGACTGCTTCTGCGTCGGCAGAGAGCGGTTTTCAGCGTTGGCCCCATCACCAGGTAAGAAAACTGTTTTGGGATTCTGTCTTGCAAATTCTTTTTAAACAACTAAAGTTAGCATTAACAACCAGCTGGTGTTAATTTCTGCTTACACTTAGAGTGCTCAGAAATCATAAAATTTGTGTGATCATTGTTAGCTTTGCTTAACTGTTTCGTTGTTTGTTTCTATCTTGTTGGGTCTGCGTGTGTGTTTTGGCTCTTTCCCTCATTGGATGTGACCAACTCAAAACACTCTAGTGCATGAATATGGAATTTTCCATTCCAAAGAAATAGAGCACCTTTCTCCCTTAAGCCTTCTGGGGCATTGTCAGGCAACTGAGAATCATATGAGAGTATCTGGAAGGAATACTCCCTAAGACGTGCAGTGGCTGTAAATAAGTATCCACCTCAGAAGAACATACTTAGGGACTAATATCAGCCGGTGGGTGCATATTAGGAGCTGACTCCTCCTGCACTTGAGCCCCTGACACACTGTGCCAGGTAGGTGCAACACAGGTGAACTAGACTCGTTCAGGGGATAACAGCTTTGACAGGGTAGGTCTGCTAGCAGCACATTTTGGGTCTGACAGACGTCCCGACTTGGTCAGACCAAAGGGGAACTGGAAATGTTGAACAGGGCCTCTGAAGTGGGAAGAAAACAGCCATCAGAAGGAAAGAAAAGAAGAAAGATTTTTGATTTTGACTGCTAAAGGGACTTTATTTACATAACAAAGCCAACTTTTTGCCAGCCAGATCAAAACTGAAAGAGCAACGACTGTACTTCTGAAACAGCAGCATTTTGTCCTAGCTGAAATATGGTAAGGAGATCTAAAAATATATTTTTTTAAAGGAGCTCAATGGTTCAAAGTCAACTTAATTAAAAGGCTAACATCCAAGATGTGTCTGTGTCTGCATAGATGTGTGCATGTTTGTATTTAAAAGGCCTTCAGGTTTTGGGGATTTATTTTTGTTTGTTTTCTCTCCTAAGATTTTGTTGTGTTTTTTTTGAGCAAAAACATTTTTTTTTCTTCAGTTGACTGAATTCTGTTTTTTTAAATTAGAATAGTTATTGCAACAGAGGCTACTCCTGGGTTTTTAAGGAAGGGCGTAGTTAGACACTCAGAAATGTCTTTGTTAAAAAAAAAAATCTTTAAAGTGCACTGTAAAAGCATCACGTGATCTAACCTCGAAATAATTCTACTTTTTTTGGAGACCCAGGATTCAATGTGAGCTCTGCCCAGAGCTTAGAGATCCAGTTAAAATGTAAGTAGTTTCTATCTTAATAAAATTGGTCTTCTTATACAATACTATGATATATTTCTATAATTTTAGGTTAGATTTGGCTTAAAGGAAAATAAAAGCATCTCTCTCTAGCACCACCATACTTTTTCTCTCTGTACCTTATGATATAAATTTTGCTATTTTATTTTCACCTGAGTTGTTTCCTTTAATATGCAAATTTAACACTATTTAGCTAACAACTACCTAGGATTGTAAAACAAGTTATTGAGAATCTAAAAGTCTAAGATCGGGAAAAAAAATAACAAAAGAATCTTTCTTCGTGAATCTATAAAATGTACTTCCATCTGCATACCCAATATGTCTATGTATTTATATGTTGTGTACACAATGTTTCACTACTGAAAATATATAAAAAGGCTCTAATTAATTGGCTTAAAGAAAAATAAAGGCGTTTAAATCAAATCTTTTATGAGGAAAAAAGAAAGACTAGTCAAATGCTTTTTCAAGTTTATGTAACTTAAGTAAAATCTTTAATAAAAAAAGCTAGCTTGAAAAGTACTGGTAAAGTAATATCAGAAATGTCTTAAGAATTGCCAACATACATTTTTTTGTTTATATATATTAATCAGGCAATTTCAAACTTATCCCTGCCAAATGCTATAATGTTTCAAAATTTGGCAAATGCTATAATGTTTCACAATTTGGCATAGGGTTTACAAACTATAAACTCAGCCTCAAACAGAATGATCACTGCTTGTGTAATTTTTTAATAAATAAGACATTGATATTGGTTTAATAAAAATAGCTGCATCTTAAATTTTGTAAGATTACTGTAACTTCTAATCTTGTGGCTTTAGGCAGCCTAGTCTACAGGGAGTAAGGAGGTTTGGTTGGGAACAAAATGTTACTGTCTTTGTTTCAAAGCTAAACTATAAATTAAGTTCCTCCCGAAGTCCAGGAATGAACAAGGACAGCTTGGAGGTTGGAAACAAGATGGAGTCAGTTAGGTAATACCTTTTTACTCCCTCACTTATACTTTTGCAATGGCAGGTTCACAACACTTTAAATCATGACTATCACAGTTTTCATAAATAATCTAGATGAACAATTAAAATTAAATAATTAGGTAAGGGATAAATACTTGTAGACAAACTTGTCATAATTTAGAATATAACATCATATTAAATAATAGACATTTAATTGTTTGAATATTTTTCCAATAAATATATATTATGGGAAAACATTCTTGCTAAAAAAGTGTCCTTTTTTAAAAAAAAGGTAAACAAATTTTGTCTAATTCAAAGCTTATTTAAAGGTTATGTATAAAACAAGGTAAAGAGAACAAGACAACAAAAAAAGATGTAAAGAAAGTTACAAGAATAAAGAGGGTTTTTTGTGGTAAAACAGCTTAAAGAGAAATAATTTTATATGAGAAAGAATCTTGTATGGTAGATTTATTCCTAAAATAAAATGACTGGTTATTTATGAAACAGAATATGTGGTAAGGAGCAGTGGCTCACACCTATAATCCCAACACTTTGGGAGGCCAAGGCAGGCAGATCGCCTGAAGTCAGGAGTTTGAGACCAGCCTGACCAACGTGGCAACATTCCATCTCTACTAAAAATACAAAAATTAGTTGGGTGTGGTGATGGGCACCTGTAATCCCAACTGCTTGGGAGGCTGAGCTCCTGGGTAGAGATTGCAGTGAACTGAGATCACACCATTGCGCTCCAGTGAGACTCTGTCTCAAAACAAAACAAAACAAAACAAAGAGAATATGTTCAGGACAAACCAGAGAGTCCAAAGCATGTCATGAATGATTGGTATAAGTCACAATAAAAATTTATTTTAAAATAACTTTAATATGATAAAGTTGTCATATTATTATTAAGTTTTGGTTTGCTTAGGGAAAAAAACTGAGATAAAAAATGTTTGTTTTAAATTTAAGGTTATTACACTCATGTATCTTTCCGTATGTGCTTTTAATGTCTTTGTGACATTAAGTTACAGGGCTTTGACTCCTGGATCTAAAAATGACACCAAGTCCTACTAAATCTTAAACACTGACAGCAATTAAAGACTTATCTTCAGGCACCATAGAAGATGCCAATCAAAATAAAATGCATTCCTGGCCAGACACAGGAACCTATGCCTGTAATCCCAGGACTTTGGGAGGCTGAGGTGGGTGGATCACCTAAAGTCAGGAGTTTGAGACCAGGCTGGCCAACATGGGGAAACCCATCTCTACTAAAAATACAAAAAAATTAGTTGGTGTCATGGCATACACCCGTAGTTCCAGCTACTTAGGAGGTTGAGGCATGAGAATCACTTGAACCTGGGCAGCAGAGATTGCAGTGAGCTGAGATCATGCCACTACACTCCAGCCTGAGTGACAGACTGAGACTCCATCTCAATAAATAAAAAAAAAAAATGAACGAAATGAAAGAAAGAAAGAAAGGAACGAAAGAAAGAAAGAAAGATAGAAAAAGAAAGAAAGAAAGAAAAAGAAAGGAAGGAAGACAGACAATCGTGTTATTTTCAACAGCAGTCCCCAACCTTTTTGGTACCAGGGACAGGTTTTGCATGGGAGGGCCTAATGGGGAGGGGATGGTTTGGGAATGATTCAAGTACATTACATTTATTGTGCACTTTATTTCTATAACTATTACATTGTAATATAAAAGTAATTATACAACTCAAAAGAAAAAAAAATAAAATGAAATAAAAATAAAATGCATTCCTGAGACATAAGGCTAGAAATTAAAGGCCATTCAATTCCTCAAGGCCTGGGGACTATTGAGAAAGAGATGAATATGTGAGATTGTAATGGCTGATTTTAAGAGACAAAATAAATTCAGTTTCTCTATGAATTAATCATGAATGTCAAAGGCACACTAATGCAAAACCAGCATATGGACTCCTGTGTCAGATTAACAAGATTTTCTTGAAGCATTAAGCAACTCCTTAATTAAATGTCAGAAACGTTATAAAAAGGCTCATGGAACTTATATTTTATGATAAAGATTAAATTTTATAGATTGTTTACAAAATTTTGAATAACTAATATAATTGGCTTTATGCTGTTTTTAGTAGGGCTTCTTATTTGGAAAATTAAGTCTCCTCTCTCAAAGAAAGAAGGTATTCCTTTTTTTTTTTTTTTTTTTTTTTTTAATCCTTGAGTTATCACTTTGGTTAAATGAATGACTTTATAATGATCCTTAATCCTATTTCGTAATATCAAGTGTTTTAAACCTTTGATATTTGACAGTCTTTCTGAAATCAAATGATAAATTATGTCTTCTAACCTAATTAATCCTTTAAGATATGAGCTTTCCTGAAGTCCAAAAATGACATAATTTGGCTTATTTGGCATAAAAATTACACAGGAAGCATGATCGAATATGAAATGGTGTTTGGTTTTCTTTGGGCTGTATTTTTATAAATATGCTACTGGTATGTGTTTCAGAATTATGGGAAACACCTTAATTCTGATATGACTTAGTTTACATTATCAGTAATAATAATAATTTTTATATTAAAATTATTGTGTGCCATCAAGGTAACAAATTTCCTTGTCAGTTTTGTCTTTGACTATGGCTGCACTAAAATTTATTAACATCCATGGACAACTGTTGGCATGTTTTGGTCCTCTTTAGAAGGTGGTTTTATAATCAGCTATAAAATTATAACATGTGCTCTTAAATGCTAGGATTTGATAACTTTAGAGATGGTAACATCAGAAAAGAGGAAAAACTTTCATGACTCATGGAGAGCTAAAATGTTTATGAGTACTAAGCAGAACAGGAATTAACTGCATGTACTGAACTTCATCTTTTTGACTTTTTACTTAAAATGTTTGCTGATCCTTTGTTTTGTTTTTCAGTCTTATTTTGTCTCTTGAGCTACTGATAGCTTTTAACAATTTAGTTTACTTCTATGAACAGAACACAGAGCATATTTTATTTGTCTTCCTGATTTCTCCAGAATTTGGAAGCTATTCGTAAGTATTCTTAATTTATGGAAAATACAGTTATTAGCATAAGTGCAATAAAAATCTGTTTTCAAATAGCCAGATGCAGTGGCTTCATGCAGGTAATCCCAGTACTTTGGAAGGCCTAGGTGAGCAGATCGGGAGGTCAGGAGTTCAAGACCAGCCTGATCAACATGGTGAAACCTCATCTCTACTAAAAATACAAAAATTAGCCACCTGTGGTGGTGCATGCCTGTAATCCCAGCTACTCAGGAGTCTGAGACAGGAGAATTGCTTGAACCCGAGAGGCGGAGGTTGCAGTGAGCCAAGATTTTGTCACTGAACTCCAGCCTGGACAATAGAGTGAGACTCTGTCTTAAAAAAAAAAAAAAAAAAAAAAAAATCTGTTTTCATTTGTAACAGGACACAGTTGGAGAAACTGGTTATTTTACCAATGCTTTGACTGAAATTGTGTGCTTTCCTTTAAGGAATCAAACTTGATTTATGAAACCAATCATTGCCCTGGAAAACTGACCTCATATTTTGTGTACAGAGTCCATGTCCAGGGTTTCTGCCCTGTGGTAAGTAAAGGATATCACTTTCTGAAAGGCCCAGAAGCTCCCGGTTTATCTTGGAACTCAAGTGGAGACGAAATTTATCCATCATAGATATTTGATGGCACAAATCTATGGCTGGGCTCGGCTTTAAAAAAAATCTTATCTGAGATTTCTACTATGGCACAAGTTTCCACCAAAGGCAATTTAAAAGCCTATGTTAAAAATAACTTTTCGCTGCACTCTAAACAAATAATTTGATGAAGTAAAATAAAGCAAAATAGTCCTACCATGATTTGTATTTGGCAAAAATGGGAAAGTGAAGAGAGAAAAATTATGTTTCAAAAAGTATAATACATGTATTATTAGATTATAGTCTTGACCAGTGTTTTTCAATTTTTATTATTTTCTATAGTTTGGACCAAATTCTAATTTTTCTTAGCTACAAGTCTTCAAAATAATGTTTTTAATTTTTTCTTTCTTTATTCCCCCATTTTTCCTAATTTGGATGGCTAAAATCTAAGCTGTGCTTTCTTAAAGCCCTGCAAACTGAAGTCAGACAACTTAAACATCAGAAGAAAGTAATAGCAACCTATTTTCATACATCAGCCACTTTTTATACCTGCCTACTGATGTGTGGACTTCAAAGTAATGTAGACTTTATTAATTTTTCCAGGATTGTTCTTTTGTTTCTTCTTGTTTTTCTCCCTCCCTACTTCTATTTTCTCTTCATAGAACATTGAAGACTTTGCAATCTGCCAAAAATCAGCTTTTGGGACTTACCTGTTTAGTAATAAACTGTCCTAACCATGAGAAATCAGAAGAAACCTAAGAACAGAGACTCACGTTCTCCTAAAGATTTTTTAAAAAGCGAAGGGGGAATGTGAACGGGAATTATCTTGGGCCCTTTCAAACTGGGAACTGCTCAGGGCAAACCTGCCTCCCATTCTATTCAAAGTCATTTCTCTGCTCACTGAGATAGATGCACATTCTGATTGCCTCCTTTGGAAAGGCCTATCAGGAACTAAAAAGAAAAAAAAAAAAAAAAAAGCAACCATTTGTCTTTCACTTACATGTGACCTTGAAGCCCCTTCCCTGCCTCAAGTTGTTCCCACCTTTCTGGGTAGAACCAATGCACTTCTTAGATATATTAATTGATGTCTCATGTCTTCCTAAAATGCATAAAACCAACTGTACCCTGACTACCTTGGACTACCTCAAGACTTCCTGAGGTTGTATCATGGGCACCCATCCTTAACTTTGGGAAATAAAACTCCTAAAATGATTGAGACTTGTCTCATTGTTTTTCTCAATTGGCAAATCACAGCTCAAGACCTCTGTAGTTTTCCATAGATCACATTTCATCTTAGATAGGTGCGGTAAGTATTTACAATTACCATTAATTGTTTGTTTCCTCTGGCCTTCTCTTCACCTAATTGTCTTATAGTTGCTTTCTTCTTGGCTGTTTTCTTTGACTCATTTGCTTAGAAAATCATCTTACCCTCTTCATTTTGCAATTAAAACCCCTGACCTTATGTAAAATTCAAATTCATTTTCCTATTAGAGTGAAGATTTACACTATCTCTTTAACACTTATGTTCTTTTTAATAAATCTTAGATTAGATGAGGAAATTTAAGACTGATTTCTGGTAACTTTGTCATTAGTTATAACTTTAGGCTATAAGGAGAAGGTACAGGCTTAAGAATATAAAGAATATAATCTGTGACTGGGTCAACTGCATATGTAATTAAATTTAGTAAACAATAAATATTATATTTGTAATTCAGAACTCTGTTTCTCCTGGCCCTTTTATAACCCTCTGACAAACACTTAACTGTCTAATCTGGAGAAATATGTCAGTGTTATTTACTTATGGAACATTGCATTAAATTTGTAGATTTTCATTGCATTCTAAAATATTTGGAAAATTCTAGTTTGTACAAATTGATAATAATGTTTGAACTGACCATATGGCTGAATACTTGAATGAGTCAAAAGTATTAATCAAATACATTACATGTATGGGTAGGTATATTCATTAACGTTGGCAGTGTTATGTTTGGACAGAAAGAAAAATATCTTGAATGGGATATAAAAGGAAGCTATGAAGAGTACCTTACCGAAAATTCTTTAAAAGTAGCCAATGGCATCATTCACGTGGATTGGGAGGTAAGTGCAGGTACATCAAGTTTATTTTTCATTTTTGTCATTAATTGTATGATTTTTGGATACTTAATTCATCAGCATTTCAGAATCCTCATTTATAAAACCATGATAGTAAAGTAGAATGCCTCTAAATGTGTAATACTAGAAGTGTTTATGCAAGACAGAAGGTCAGAATTAACCTAGGGTGGGAGCTATACCAGGAACTCGTGAAGATAACACCACTGCATTGCTTAGATGTTTGAACATCTGCCTCCCAGGGCTAAACACTTAGAACTTATTAGGTCAATTACAGCTTTCCAAAAGCTAGGGTAGGACAGTCTATTTACATAATATTCTTTGTATAACAATTAGATTTTCTATCACTTTTGCAGATATACATTCTATGGTTTGTCATATATATATGTAGAGTTTTTTTTCAAAACTTATTGTCATATTTACATAAACATATTTCTAAAATTATTGTTAAATGCATAGAGTTTTCTTAAAATATCTATATACATTGCAACTTAGGATCTCTGGGTTTCCTTATTTTGTGGCATAAACATTTCCTGGAGTCACAATAATTTAAGTCAGTAGGATAGCTAAAAATCTGCAGTTTATGCCTTAAAATTTTGCCTATTTAATTTCTAAGTCAATAATTATATAAAATCATAGGAGTCTAGACTAAATTAACAAAAATTGAAAAATATCCAATGTGTGAGAGCTATCTGACATGGCAAAAATAGCCTGATCAAATTTTTTGAAACCCCCACCCATTCTTGTCTGTCTTGAACCTGGCTAGGTTGAAGAAAATTCAGTACCTGATTCACATTGAAGAGCAAGCGCAAGCCTCTTCCAGAGACACTCACTTTTCTCTTTGTTTGGATAGTTTCACCATGATTAAAAGTAAAACAATTTCCATATTCAGTGAAGACATGTGCAAAATCCTCCAATATATAAATAAACCAAAAAAAATCACATTAATTTGATAGTTTTGTCACTTCCATAGTTTAATTTCTGTAACTTTTTCTTCAAAAGTACAAATATTTAACAAGATTGCAGAAATATCAGAGAGATAGTCTGATTTATATGTATATTCAGTGATAGTTTTTTTTCTGGTAATATGCATTTGTCAACTTGCATGTGATTATTTAAAGGAGACATTTTCACATGAAAGTAAGCATGTATTTCACAACATTTAAAAAAATTACTTGTTTTATATTTTCCTGAAGATGTATGGAAACATGTTTTTCCCTGTGGAGCACCACTTCAGCATCCTTTCTTGGAGGGGCTATGCCTTCTGCAACCCGCATGCTCAGTGTGGCAGTCAATCACATAACTCCGTTCCCTTGATCCTCCTTTTCCAGCCACTACAGAGGCGTGCATGGGACACAAGTTGGGCCAAGCTTAAACCTCACCTTCTTGCCTCAGTGGTTGGATCAAGAATTGATATATGTCCCAAGTAGAGCTAATCAGAGTCTTCGGTGAGATTATTAAGTGGATACCGGAGTGCTAAACTCTGATAATCAAAGTCTAGGGGGAATCAGCAGCCATTCTGGAGAAGTGTGGGGAGAACTCATACAGAAAGAAGCCAACCAGAATTATGAGATGGAAACAAAGTCAGAATCTTAAAGATAGTCTTGGAGTCCGTTGGTTTAGCATTTTCTGAAGCCAGACCTACTCTTGGAGTTCCCGCTAAATTAAGCCAACTCATTACTTTTACACTTTAGTTTACTGTAACAGAAATGGGATTCTGTAATATGCAACTGAAAAAGTCATCTCTAACACGAAATTTCTTGGTGGTAAGTTAAACATGTTGGTAAATATAAACAGCATAGGAAAGCTTATTTTCCAAATTAACAGTTTAGACCAAAACCTCACCTCTGTGAAGTGTCTCTCAGGCATTACTTTACTGCTTACTGTGTGCTAAGATGGTATACCAACAATATAAGAAATTGTAACCCAGAACCAAGAATTTGTGAAGTTTACTTAAGACTCCCCTAACAACCCAGGCTCCAGAATTGCTGTTACAAGAAATATGGCATCAAATTGCTTATATACTTCCTTACTAATAGATTACAGATATATCTAGTATTTTATCTTAAATGTAGATTAATTTTATAAACAATAATAACATGATTTTGTATTTGTTATATATTTGTTTTGTATTTGTATTTGTTATGAGTGAATGTATATCATATATAATTATGTTATATATAATATATAATTATATAGTATATAATGTTCATAGTTAAATGCTAGAGTCCTCTTGTTTTCTTTAGCCTCTAATGCAATACTGAAAGAATAAAAGCAGAGTGATGGCTACTTGGTGATTATAAAAATGCTATGTTGGAATAGGTTGTTTGTTGATGAATGAAAAAAATTAAAATATCTTTTTGTGTTAAATTGTTTTTCTTTTGGAAGGACTATATTACAAGAAAGGCAATAAAGTTTCCTCTTTTCTTTCTTTCCTTATCTAACTACTTGAAAGAGTAAATTTGTCTCACGTGTATTCCATACCCCTGATATGATAAGGCTGAGCTAGTGAAATAGAATCTTTAAGCAAATTTGGATTGATTCACCATGGGAGTAAATGCTGTGGGAGCTCAATGTGAAACAGTACAGTAAAAGAATTCATTACTTTGACTGTATTTGAAGAAATAGCAAATCGTTACCTTTGGGCTACATGGCTTTCCAAAAAAATCACAGTCCAACAAAGTGCTATTGTTCAGATAAAAACCTTTGTTCCTGATAAATTCTGCAATGCTAAAGTTTTGGTGACTTGCAACAAAATCAGTAGCTTCTCTAGAGTCAGTGGAATTGGCAGTAATTTCTTGAAGATGGAGGACTTTGGATACAATGTGCCATAAAAAAAAAATAACACCAAATTTGGCTACAGCATCTGTTTGGAACCTATTAGCAGGAATGAAGGCAATAGTTAGAATAATGAAATCTTGTAATTATCTAGAAGACAGAGACCAACACCTAGATTCTATTAGCTTCTTCTTATCTTCTACACTCTCCCTTATTTGCAAGACATTTAAGCAAAATTTGATTCCTAAGAGCAGGGGTCCCCAAACTTTTTACACAGGGGGCCAGTTCACTGTCCCTCAGACCGTTGGAGGGCCGGACTATGCAAGGTGTGACACCCTTCATAGCCAGTGCTGCTGCCTCCACTATCCCAGACAGCAGTATACAGTGTCACAGGCCCAGCACCGCCTCCAGTGCTGTATACAGGGATGGCGGTGATCAGCCTGTGACGCTGTGTATACAGCGTCCTGGACATCTGCAGCAGCGATGGGCCTCTTCTGTGGGAAGCCTACTGCTGCATGTTTCCCCTATTATAAGACACTTCCTAAAAATAAGACAGCCCCCGTCTTTTGGGTGTAAAATTAATATAAGACGGGGTCTTATAATATGGGAAACATGGTGTGTAGTAATGTGGGGGAGACTTTTGGGCAAAGGGTGGTTATAGGGGCCATTATGTTGTTGTACATTTGGGGGAGTATGGGGGCCATTATACTGTGTAGTAATGGTTATAGTGCTTTGCCTTTCTTCCTACTTCTGCTGTTATTTCACACCATTTCCGGTGATGTGGGGCATCATATGACGCACTTCTGGAGCCGTGACGTGTGCATCCCACATCACTGGAAGTAGTACTGTACGTGAGCGATGCCGTGATTTGCGGAGCCGCCACATACAGTACTCCATCCTGTGCTCCTCTCACTGACCACCAATGAAAGAGGTGCCCCTTCCTGAAGTGTGGCGGTGGCCAGATAAATGGCCTCGGGGGCCGCAGTTTGGGGACCCCTGCCTAAGAGGTCTTTGACCCATTTGCAATTAATCTTGGATTTGAACATGCAGTTTCATTTACCTAGACTATTCCCCAGACCCTGATCTGGATGTCACCTAATGGAGCTTCAAAATTCAATTTAAAGGAAGAGGTGGAATTGTTAAGAGTGCATTTAGGAGTCAAATTTCCTGTATGTGGCCTTGTCCTGAGTCAGGTTAGCTAAATTAGAACTACATTTCCCAGCATTCCCATCTTGTATATATGTGAATTTCACTGTTGTGCAGGAGCTGTGGTAGCTCACACACATCCGTCTACTGACTCAACTTGCTGCTATCAGGCAGCAGCTGGGACCACAGCTCCTCCAGCTCTTTTGTGACCTATTTCTTCAGCTTCTTCAAATACTGGGTTAGGTAAGAGTGCCACCTGGTAAAGATGACAGCTATCCTACAGGGCACCCGCACTATCAAGATTGGAGGTAGTGAAAAAGAGACCTACATTTCCAGCTTGTATGTCTCCCCTACTTCATATCTATTTTCCCTTATAACTGCTGGCCCTTCTGACTTCAGTCCCAGCACTAGAAACAGGTGAAAAACTTAGAAAGACTGCTTAACCAGCTAGTGCAACAAAGTGGAGCTTAATCCCTAGGAAAAAGCCCTTTATTCTGTCATTCATGGTTATTCTGTTTCTCCAGTTAGGTTCTAATTGTTACAACCACTTACTGGTATAACTTAACAAATTTTTTAAATTTCCCTGTGACTTAAGTTTCTTCTCTTGTAAAATCTGTATGTATTAATATAACCTGCCTCAAAGTGTTGTTTTAATGATTACATTAATTTTTTTCTTAACATTTTTAGACAGCTGCCTGAAAGATAGTGAGTGCTAGGTATGTATTTATTAAATAAATGACTCATTCTGGCAACCAAAGCAGAAGTAGTCTGTTTAACTTGACGACTGCATCACTTTCTAATTCTATCTTGTGGAGCAATTTTGCCTTGTGTTCCATATGGTTCTTTATTTGCATGCCTTCCATTCCTTTGCAAACATGATCAGGACTTTCATATTTTAGATATTATACATTTTGAAACTGAACAAATGTTCTCTACTTGAATTGACTGCTAAAAGCATAAAACAGAAAGTATATTCCACTCTTGGTAAGTATAAAGGATATGTGGCTTGTGTGTCATGCCTGAACCTCTTTTCTGTCGCAGATTTTGTTTTCATTTTCCTTTATATTAGCTTATCTTGTTTAATACATAAATATATATGTATATATTTGTGTGTGTATATATATGTATACATATATAGAGAGAGGTAGAGAGAGAGAAGGAAATAAAAATATTTACTCTAAAATATATTTTTTGACATATTTAGAAATGGCTGCCACAGGGTCAATAACAGAAGTGGCCTTGCAGAGGTGTCTTTTATGTCTATATGTCTTTTATGAGGAAAATGTGCATCTGTAGAATACATCCATTAATGCAGCCAGGCCTCCTCTTTCTAGACACTTGCTAGTTGTAGGAGAGATTAAGATTCCAACACCTTTAAAAGTCTAAAAAGAAACATTCGCCATGTCTCCTCTCTGAAGAAGTCTTCTTTATAGCAAGGTCACCTCTGCCAATCAAGGCTCTTCCTTTCTCCCTTCTATAACCTATATAACCTGTCTTGCCATTAAAACCTACTTTTGGCAATTCTCTGAGCCTGCATTCTTTCTGTAATCTCAAGATGGTAAATAAGCCTCTTTATCTGTTTAGCATGTTAGGCTTCACTCTGAAGGCTCATGTGTATACACATTAAATATCGTTATAAGCCTTTTCTTCTATTAATCAGTCTGCCTCATGTCACTGATTTTTCAGCAAATCCTTATGGGGCCAATATCCATAGCCCTCACAATATATACATATAATTTTTCTTTCAAATTCAAGTCATATTAAATCCTTTCTCAATCAAGGTAGGGCCTACACAAAACACAAAAATCGAGAAACAACCTCAAGCCAACATTACATACCCTATAAGAAATGAAAAACTGTTTTCATAGTCAACATCTAATATTATAGCTTCCTTAACTGGCTCTGATCCTTGCAAAGCCAGCCCAGGTCCTAAAACTATGTATATGTATATATCCACCTTTGACTTCCTGATTCCAAGGTACTCTTAGTCGTCTGTCATGGTGGTATTCTGTCTGACCACAGTACATCTAATAACCTTGCTTTTCTTGGTCAAAAACACTTCTTGGATCTTTAAGGAATTAAGAGTTTACATCAGCAAAAGATTTTGGCAGAAGCACAGTGCAAACCCTATATATCTTCAAGCTACTTCAGGTTTCCAACTCCCCTTGACTGACAGGCTCCCAGAAATCTGTTCCTACAACTGTGAAACCTTACACAGGCAGAGGCAGTACTCCCTGATACATGTTCATTTGATTATATTCAAAATGATTATGCAGGGAAATAAAGGAATTATTATACCTGTGGGAGGAATGAATACAATCTCCAAAAAGGTTAAATAGGAGGGCATCTTAAAATATTGTTAAGCTTTTTAAAATCATACTAATAATATTTGAGATCATGAGAGTAATTTATATACATGAATTAAATTTAATAAAGCCTAACAATACTGGGACCAAGGAAGAAAATTTTTCTTTCAAGAGATATTATTTTGCTTAAAACAAAAATGTTTTGCACTGAGTTTATTTTCAATTTTATTTTATTTTTTGAGACAGGATCTCAATTTGTTGCCCAAGTTGGAGTGCATTGGCACGAACATGGCTTATTGCAGTATTGAACATCTGGGCTCAAGTCATCCTCCCACCTCAGCCCCCCACGTAGCTGGTACTATAGGTGTGCACCATCATGCCAAGATAATTTTTGTATTTTTTGTAGAGACAGAGTTTTACCATGTTGCCCAGCCTGGTCTCAAATTCCTAAGCTCAACAGATCTGTCTGCCTTGGCCTCCCAAAGTGCTGGGATTACAGGCATTAGCCACTGCATCTGGCTTATTTTCAATTTTAATTTGAACTTCAAAACTCTTCTAATTTCTCCTTTCAAAAACCTTGCTTAGTTAGAATTTGCCTTACTCTTTAACCCACCAGGTACAAGCTTAGTAGAAGAAAACAATAAAAATATATTAATTTGTTTAAACAATTTAACATCTGGTAACCAATGATCAAATCTGTCCTTCTTATGCATCTTAATGGTTCTAAATGTGCTTCCCCAAATTATATGACCCAAATGACTAAGTTTCCTCTAAAATCCAAGTTGATGTCTGACTCAGGCCTTATTTGAGTCCTGCTGAAACAGATCCATTTCTCATATTTATAAGAAATGTACATTTTACAGATAATTTTGTGGAGAAGGAAAATGAGGAACAATGTCTGCCTTTTGTATTCTTTTTTGAACAAATTTTAACATCTTACCATTCTCTAACTAATAAAACCTTTAATATGTCTTTATATTTATATGAGAAGCAATGATTTTTACCTTGCTGAAAACCCTTGAACAATTTTTTCCTTGCATCAAACAAATTTGAAATAAACAAAAAAATCACAGTGATTATAAACATGAAGACCCAATACGTGAGTTACTCATAAACAACGGATCAAATAGCATCACTAGTCACTATATTCAGTCATTATTTCTGATGTTAGTGGAAGACATAAAATTCTGAAGTTTTTTCATCAAATGAATAGAAGTTTTTGATGAATTTTATGATATTTTAGTGAAAATTTTAGGCACAAAGACATTTGAAAAGCACTAGAATTGAACAAAAGAATCAAGTCACAAAACATTATTACAATTTCTGGAGTTTTTTATGAAATGTGACTTTTTATGAATTTTTGCCAGTTGTATTCTTAGGAGTTTGTCTTTCTGTTTGTACAACCATTGCTTCATGTGAAAAGAACCTTTTAAAAACTAAAATTACTAAGTATTCTTTAATCAACTACTAGTAAGACTAATCTGGCTGTGCTATGGGACATGAATACATGGATAAAGTTAAATTTGATGAAGTTGCTGACAAATATTCATAAAGAAAGGCTAAAAATGGAACCACAATGCTATTATTTATTTCTGTGTAAAACCAAAGAAAATGACTGAGGCGGGCCTCAGTCATTTTAGAGGTTTA